GGGGGGGGGGGAGCAATGAAAATTAGCATTATAGAGCTTATTGTGTGTGCGCTCGGCACCGTTTCCAGTCTTTACACATCTTAACTGGTTTAATCCTCACAATAATCCTATCAGGCAGGTTCTACTCTTATTCCCGCTTTACAAGTGAGAAAACAGAGGTACAGACTAAGCCACTTGTTCAAGGCCACACGGGTAGGGAAGACGCAGGAAACCAGCCATGAATCTAAGAGGTGTCAGGACTCGGGCACTGTAACTTTGGGATCAGAGCCACTGTTTCCCACCATCCTTCCAACCATTTTTTTAGGAAAATAAAGACGGTCAAGCTTCTGTCTGTCATAATCTTACTAATTCACCATTTGCTGAAAATAATAAAAACAAAGTCAAAATCCACCATTCAGAATTCACGCTTATTTTAAAAATATGTATAAAGCACACCTTAGTACTCCTGCGCAGCCACGTGTTACCTACTCGGGGGCTTCTCGCTTGTGGACTCGGCAGGTATTTCTGGAGCCCGGCTCTGCGCCAGGCACTGTTCTAAGCCGCGGGGACCTAACAGCGGGAGGCATAACCCTAGATGTTCAGGTGCCTTCAGTCATTTGATAACTTATCTTTTCTTCTTTTCTTCCTCAGAAATTTATTAACTTACATTTTTGTTTTACTGTCTAGCAGGCTATATTTATCTCTAAACACCACCTTGCTCTCTGAGCAGTTACGCTCTGTTCCCTCAAATTTCTCACATTTGTGATATGTTAGAGTGTGAAGCTAAACTATCTGAGGGAGAACGCCTTTTTAGGGGCTGATGTACTCATTAAAATCCAGCTCCCACAACAATTCCATTACTATCACTTTGAATTACTCAACTCCATGTGAGAAAGAAAAGCTAAAATTGTCCTTCAAATGTCCAGAAGCAGAATTTCATCAGTCACAGATCATGAAAAAACAAGTCACCATAAAGGATTTCAGACGCTTCTCATTAGACATGCCCAGAAGCATCTGGGAACTCTCTTCACTGTCTGAGCTACAGGAACCGGGAAAATAACATACAGCACTTACCTATCTAGGTGGGTCCCCAGCTACGGGCTGGTGGCAAAGACTAAGATGACAGCACATTTAGGTAGCACGTGGAATATGCAAAGGGTTTGCCAGGAAGTCCTGCCTCACAACCACAGTCTGCATTCTTGATCCCGGCGGCCACCTCAGGGGCTGCGGACCATGCCTGGACGGACAGCCATGCACAATCATCCCCCCGAAACAAATAATTCCTGCTCAAAGGACAGGCTTATTTATTTATTTAACATGGCTTCTTCTGGGCCTGCAATGGCCTTCTCTGCCTTCCTCGCATGATGGGATCCTTTTTGA